TACACTTCTTATTAGTGAAGCACGTACAGTAACTAGACTTTAGTGGAAGAATAATTAATATACACTTCTTATTAGTGAAGCACGTACAGTAACTAGACTTTAGTGAAAGAATAATTAATATACACTTCTTATTAGTGAAGCACGTACAGTAACTAGACTTTAGTGAAAGAATAATTGATATACACTTCTTATTAGTGAAGCACGTATAAATCTTGTTTCCTTGTCTTTTATTTTGAACATAATTTTACTTACTTTCTCGTAGTTGATCTCCATGGTGATTTTGTTGAGATAGCTATCGTCCATTATTGCCAACTTGCAGGCATAGCTCTGGCTTTTTCCCTGCTGTTGGTCAATCTGGCATTGTTTGTAGTACCAGGGAAGTGACCATTGTCCGCTGAGCCCAGCGATGTAGTTGGTGTTGTACAGTGTAGTCATGCGTGGAAGTTTTCTTGGTTCATAATGTACGTTCTTCTGCTCATTGCTTTTTTCCACAATAGCCTTTGAGAAAAACTTGGAATGAAAAACGCTGCTTTCTCTTGAGTCATTTATTTTTGTTTTTTATTTTAATACTAAAATCTTACAATTGTCACTGTGATTACTGTTAGTAAATATTATATCATATTTAATGATAGGTAGAAATAATTTATTACAGCAATTATAAAACAGTCTTAAATTTAAACAACTAGAAAAAACACTTAATATTAAACCATGAAGCAGTAATATTTGTGCAGATTAGTTAATATACAAACATATTCCAAATACGTAATGTAATTATACTGAGATAAACCTGTGTAAAAGTTTAAAATATTTTGACAGAAACAGGTATTCGTATTGTCACCGGTTGTATGAATTAAATGTTATTAATAATTATGTCCACAAAAAATTTGAATATAATATTGTCACTAATAGAAACTAAATAACAATAGCAGATACTGCAACAGTTGTATTTATGCTGACACGGGACGCATGCGTGGTGATCCACAAATGAGCAACATGGAATTTCAACCAATTAAAAAAGCAGACGTTCAAACTGCCACCACTTGTATTGACAATGATATAACTGAGTGGTGTATATTCAAAAGATGGAGAGTATTAACATTAACGACGTCATTTAATTCAGGCAATGCTTTGGATTAAGGCCCAAACAAACGACATTCAAAATGCACCTTTTTTTCAGTCTTTGTAGTTTTCTTACCATTAATTATGAAGAAAATATACCCTACTTACCCAACTAACATAATGATACTGTCTCGGAAAATGTTTCTTCCTAGTTTTATGTTACAAACATTATCTAAGTTAGTTGTTGTTATTAAAAACAACCGAAAATATTATAACATCTATTGCTGTAAAACAATTCTGGTAGGAAATTGAAAAACATGTTATGACTGTACTTACGTTGATAGAGACGTGCCTTTCTTGTGATGTTAAACACTCTGAACCCCAACTGATGTCAGCATTGATGTCCACTTTTTGATCATTAGTTAAGACAGTGTCCAGGAGGAAAACATTTGGTTTCGGGGGAAATTTTACAACGGAGTTGAAACACATCTAGTATATAATATATATGCATATAAATTAACCTCTATCAATGATACATTTAATGTTAAAAACATTTTTTGTGTTCTTCGTCATAGCATAAATATATTAACATAAATGTCATTGTTACTGTATACCCATGACAGCACATTAAATAGAATGAACGCCGTGAATCGAACCCCGCATTTTAACGTTATAAGTCTCAAGCTTACCGCTGAACCCCCAGGCGACATTAATTAAGAAAGATAATTCATAGAAAACATGCTATTTAATAAATAATCCAGTGTTTTCATCCTAAATCTAAAGAGTTATCATCAAGTTATCATACTAATAAGTACTCTTATAAGAGAATGTATATATATATACAAATTTGTTTTTATCAAAATTCACAATCATTAATTAATTTTTGTTCTAAACTTTATTATGTTTTAAGAGAAAATAAAACCTAACCTCTACTGGGTTGGATCTGTATTGTCCAGTTGTTGACGTAAGGAGATGGATTTTGGTCCAGATGGTTCTAAAGTCCAGAGTTCGTGTGTAAAAGAGGTCTAAGACGTTTGTGATAGGGACAGGTCCTTTTCCTTCTAGAACCATAGACCAAACATGTGTCACAGTTGTGTCAATTACATTGGATCCGCTATACTCGCTAGTGGTTCTTGGCAAGTAAGTTTTGGGTCCTGAAAAAACGTCGCTATGGTAGGGTTTGTAGACGCGTGTGAAAGGTAAATTGAGGTATTCATAGGCTTTCTGTAGAATACCGGTGTTTCTTTCTTTTCGATACAGCTGTGGTTCATCTTTCTCCAACATTCGTTTGTACTGGAACTTGATGTTATACTAGGATGAACAAAAGACAGTTAAACACGTTAATTTAAAACTGTAGTGGTAAAAAAATACACAAAACTTTCTCTTAATTAACACTTCAACCACTAAAGAACAATTCAGTGCTATTTGTAAAATATTTTTCGGCACATTGAATATTAATTCATAGGCATTTAAGTACATATATTTTACAAGGCTACAGTAAACATCACGTGGGTTTTAGTAACTGCTTTTACAGCCGTAAATAAAAATAAATATTTTTGATCGCTAAAAACTCTTAAGGACACTCTCACAAAATAGTTATTGGCCAAATCTGGTTTCTAAGTAACGAGTTGTAGAGTAAGGGTTATCGTTGATCATAATTAGCTTACAAAACTAAACAACTAAAACATACACCTACGAGTACACTTGTACAGATATTCAACTTAACTCTTATTTTACATTGATATTTCGATGAATTTGCTACGTGAGAGAACAAATATATGCTGTTTCAATAGGACACTTAAGAGTAATAGCTTTAATCGAGGCGGAATAAACAAAGATATGGGTTCTCACCTCATAGATTGGTGTCTGATGATCTGGTTCTAGCGAAACGACGAATTCGCGGTACTTCTTACCAGGATTACTAATAACCTCCAGAATTCCAGCTAGGTAGCCCTTTTCCTGTGTCGTACGGCTCAGGTGTAGTGGGATGTCAGACCAGATGGTTTCTGCAATTCCTTTAACATGGAGTCCCAGTCCAAATAATTGTCGACCATAAACTTCATCATACTACAATGTTAAATGGCACAAAATATATATGCATATAAATTTGTATTCTTTTGTCAAATGTTCTAGTTATAGTTTTATTAGTGTGATTATGCCATAGTAGAATATACTAATCCGTGAGAAATTAAAAGATGTTAAGATGCTTCCAATATCGTTGTAACTCATGATACGAGACAATCTATAAAGAAGTTACGTAACGAGTTTACGTCTTTGATAAGTATTGTAACACTTAAAGTAGATATTCGAAGACTATTCCAAATCAAAGATTTTCAAAAAATAAAAATATAGGTATAGGTTAAATGTATGGTTTGCTTAAATGAACAAGAAAGAAACGTGCCTTCAGTGGAATTGGTAAAGTCCTGATTGGCAAATACTGTCCTAGGAAGTGTTCTTCTGGTGGTTGACTCACATAGTTCTTTCGAATAAAGGTAGCAGCATCTGACTTGTGGTAGAAGATCTTGGTTAGTTGTGGCTGGATGTTGAGTTGAAAGACGTGTTTTGTTACGTCGACTTGTAAGCTGATGTTTAAAGGAAGAGTCGTGTGGTATCTTCTAACCATCGTGCTTCCGTACATAGTCTGCGCTACAGGGTCCACAATCCCTCCAAAGACATGAGAGGAGTAGTGTATCCTGGGTAACAAGAAACGTTTTTAGAAACTTTTCTTAGGTTGTTGTCTAAATATAAAGAACGTATATAATGTACGATTGAACTTTACTGGAGAATCGGATCTACTCCTTGCTAATCGGTCTAAAAAAACCCTCTTATTTAACAAAAATCACCTATTATAGTTTAAAACTGTGGATAATGTTATCACCGGTCTGTATTGCTTACACACACTTATTTCTCATGATGTAATAGATTCAGTGACTTTCCAGTTTTATTGATAATTTAATTGTTACTGGTAAATAAGTTTGTAAGAAGATAAGGGAAGTGACTCACGTTGGTTGAATTTCTAAAGCAAAGTTTACGTCCCCAGAATAGTAGCCGCTGCTTGGAAGCTGCACATAAATATTTCTAATACGTAAAGACATTATGGTTGGTTTTTGGTTGGAAATGACGACTGGCAGACCTGTTTCTGAAGGTAGTACTTTGAAGGAGCTGGAAGGTAGAATAACCTTAACATAGTGCCATGGTATTCCTGCTCTTACTTGATCTTCAAGTTGTCTGTAAAACTTGATTGCTGCAAATATTGAATTAATCGAACACTTATCAAGATGATTTTATAAAATTAAACTAATGAATTCTGTTAAGTACAATAATTTAACGCATCAGATTATTCATTTGACATCTTTCTATCTATCATAATCTGCTGATTTAAATGTAATTAGTTTATCACTTGGCTACACGTAGCAAGGAACAATACGGAGTGCATGATCGCTATCTTATATACAGACAAAGATAATTAAGTTTAATATTTATCTACAGACTGTTTGCAATATGACAGTCAAGCACTCATAAGATCCTTCATAATGAAATAGGTAGCTTACCGTGCTGAAGCATTTCACTAATATATTCCTTGTCCAAAGTGTAAATTGAAGTTCTTTCGAATAGCTGGAAGAATACGCTGGCCTTCAGGTCTTCAGGTTCACGAAAAACCAAGTTTAACTTGGTCTTAATTTCATCAAATTCCTGCTGCAATCTTTCCACACCGTACTTCCTGGGACCGAACAGGATGGTAGATAATTCCGACAGAATATCACTGTGGGTCACTAATCTGTCCAAGATTTGATCCCAGCCCTTGAATACGAATCCGAACTGCGAAATGCGATGTAAAATTGATAGTGGCATTAGCTTCTAGCAGGTTAGGGAATGGAAACTAATTTTGTAGGTGACTATTTCATATTCAAAATAATAACCACTTTCTTTCATTGTACACGTTCTGATAATTACTATAATTATAGATATTCGAGTTTCATAAAAACAGTTACCAGAATCTATTGAATAGTGTTTAATTTAGTAAAATACAAACACATAAAATGAGTTGTTTTAGAGCAAAGCCGCATTGGGCTATTTGCTGTGTTCATCGCGAGAAATCGAACCCGGGATTTTAAAGTTACAAACCAGTATACTTACCGCTGTATCGAAATTCCAAGAAAAAGTTGAAACATGGATAAAAATTCATTGGAATTTTTGTTAAAATTATTTTAAGGCTTTCTTTCTGAAGAAATCTGGCTTTTAATAACAGGGTTACAAAATACAATTATTATAAAGCTGAAATGTTCGAATTTTAAAATTCTAAAGTACTAAATTTCAATATTAAGAAAAATTAAAAGCCAACGAACAAACGGGGATGTGAAATGAAAATGGTTATCCAAATCAAACTATTAACCAAAAAATAGTGTAAGGTCTGGATCATGATATCAAACCAAAAATAGTGTAAGGTCTGGATCATGACATCAAACCAAAAATAGTGTAAGGTCTGGATCATGCTATCAAACCAAAAATAGTGTAAGGTCTGGATCATGCTATCAAACCAAAAATAGTGTAAGGTCTGGATCATGACATTATACCAAAAATAGTGTAAGGTCTGGATCATGCTATCAAACCAAAAATAGTGTAAGGTCTGAATCATGACATCAAACCAAAAATAGTGTAAGGTCTGAATCATGACATCAAACCAAAAATAGTGTAAGG